GGAGGGGGGCGGGGGAATGAACTTGGAGAAATGTCTTGCGAGTACAACATTTTACATTTTAAAAATGCCAAATAAGGAAACGGGAAACCCCAAGGTAACTGAGAACAAATTATTAAATGGAGGGAGTATATAAAATATTTAGCTTGTCCAATAATTTAGCTTCGAGTCATGTGGGAAGAAACATTGTCAGACATGCTAATAGAGTCATGTCTGACAATGTTTAAGCTTTGAGAACACAATGAACTAAATCAAAATGAAAAATTGAACTTCTCTTGTCTCTTGACTTCCAATGGCATTTTAATGCATCAACACATCAAGAGTCTAACGAGACAGCCTCTGCTTTCTTAAAGGGTAAGGTTACGTACATCTTGACTCCCCACACCCCCAACGGAGTTGGGATTAGGCTGGGTGTAATGTTGATGTTTTTTGAATACAATTATACGAAACACAAACTTTTTGAAGGAATAGCTGCATTTTGAATAAATGATAACCGCTGAAAAATCAAGAGATGAATAACATGCTCTCAGGAATCCTTGTTCCAAGATGAAACCCAAAATCATTGGCACTGCACTAAATACACCAATCTGAAAAAGAAACTGTACATTGAGAGCAGCATTTAGTGCAGTATTATCAAATATATCTGCTCTTTCTTGAATCGTTTCACCAACCCCAGATAATGCCTGAGACAAGAAATTCAGGTGCATCCATCAGGAATACAGATTGTAAAATTTAACAATTACAGTACATCAGATGGGATTCGTCCATTAAGGCATCCATGGCAGACCGCCTTACCGCCTAAGCGTCGAATAGGCGACGCCTTAATAACCATGACTTAGTGATAAAGATGTAGTTATGTATCAGAACATACCAAATAGGCTCTCCCATAGAGAAAACTGTAGGCACTGAGCACTGTTAACTACATAAACAAATCATAGCGAGCCATTAGACACATGAGGCAAATAACTATTTACATGTTCAAGTATATAGACGACCAAAACAAGAAATAGCAATACTTGTAAGTGACATCTAATAATAGTAAGGATGCGGCAATTTGAACCCCTAGTTTAATAGATACACCTTATTTTAAAGAAAAAAAATCAATCTAGCATGATTTTGATTTTCAGGTTTCCCTTCACCAAGCTTTGGATTTCCAGGCAATTTCACAGAATATATTTCCTGTAATGATTCTAACAGAAATTAAAACATTAAAGATGGCTGAAATGGCTACATTTGGCAAATTATTCCGATTTAGTGGAATCTTTCTGTTTATGGATTTTTCCTTGTTCCATTCCTCCAGATAACGTTGCCATGTAGGGGCTTTGATTTAAAAAAGCCATGGTTGTCGCGTCAGCAAGTCACGCTGAGTAGATATATATATATAGTAAATAAGTATAATACTCATATCTAACCCAGAATAAAGTGGCTAAACTAATAGAATAAACATCAATGGGTGTTGAAACAAAACTTAGTTGCAGAACACATACACAAACATTGAAGAAGAATATCCTTCTTTGCCCGTACCCAGAAGGAGGGGAGAGCAATCTGTGACTAACTTCTCATAAATAGATATTTGATGTCCACCATTCATAACTTTATTAATGATTGTCTGAGTATAAAAAGGCAAAGCCTTACAAGAAAGTGAAGAAACCTACCATAATAATACAAGAAAACATGAATCCATATTTAGGGATATTTACTAAAATAGAATAAAACTACTAATAGGAGACTAATAATAATAATATTAATAATAATAACAACAACAACAATAATAATAATATTAATAATAATATTAATAATAATAATAGTAATAAAAATAACAATAATAAGAATCTACTCAAAATGATAATAACAACAACATCATCATCATCAACACCAATAGTAACAAGAATGATTTAAATGACTGTATCATTACACCCCTCCGAAGTCCGAACATGAAGCTTGTCCTCAAGCTGTGAAGAGAGAGATATGTTGCACCAGCACTTTCCACGAACAAACGACACCAAATATAAGCGCTCGTTTAGTAGAGTACAACACAGGAAAGAACCAACTGATGATATAACCCTGAGAATTACCGTGACACTCTAAGTGGATAGCCCAATGGATGAACTTTGCAGAGCTAGATGTGACTTGCCTGTTGCAAAATAGACAATTACTACACCATTATTCCTCAACTGGCATGTGCATAACCAACCATGAATTCTTGGCTTGCCAAATAAAGTGGATTAATTGACAGTGGTCTTTTGCGATTCAGTTACAACATCAGTAATAGCTTCTGCATGTTTATGTGGTGAATAGCTTTCATGGCGCATGGCGATGGCCATGACGCATATATCGCATCGCCACAGGACACAAGTCACACAACCAATTTAATAAATTCACAAATGCATGAGACATAAAATGAATAAATAATAATAGAGTACTTGATCTAAATAGTTCTGTTGAAAATAAAAGCACAACAAAAAAATCATTCCAAAACACCTGAAGGTGCTAGTATTAAAATAACTTAAGCAAAACATAAAACTTAATTCAAAATTAAGTTGATAAAAACTTTGATCTAGCAATTTAAAACATGAATATCTTATCATCACTCCCAAGAGGTCAGAGGTTGCAGAGAGAGGCATGTAGCAGAGTTGCAATGATCCCATATACGAGTTGCGCAACACGCAACATTCTTCCCTTCTAAAGCCGCGACTAGCAAAGAAGAAGAAAAGTTGTGATGGCGACGTTCTGTGCGAAGAAGATGTACGACTGGAGAGAGTGAGAGATGATTGACTGATTGAGTATCGTCAATCTCAATAAAGGATTTTCTTGGATTGGGCCCAAATATATTGGACTAAAAAACTTTGGGCAAAATAAAAAAATGGGGCACGAATGGGGATGGCGGCAAAATGGCATTGCCATGGGAACACTGGTTGCCACAACCAGATTTGTGGTGATTATGAGCCAAATGGCCAATGGCACATATATGGTGCGTGCCATTTGCGCCATCGATAAGCTTGGCGGTAACGACAGTAGAAGAGTAGGACTGGACATAGTAACAGATAAAGTTTTTTTTGCTCTATATTGAACAACATACTGTATCAAATAGCCATAAAAAGTTTGACCCAAGGGTGGTGATGGTGGAAGAGGCTGTGGATATTGCAATTGATATTGATATTCATGTTGCGACATCTTTCAATATGTTGAACTGATCTCTTGGCAAATTCACAGCATAAACCATAGTCATCAACAGAACAATAACTTAGAAACAAGATGCACAAAGTCTGAAACTCTATTTTTCTGACTTTTTTACAACTTCTTTGTATGTTTTTTCTAGTTTCAAAAAAAATACATCAAAAAAATAAAGAATTGAAATACGATGCGAGAATTTACTAGCAAGAAACCCCCCACCATCTCACGCTACAAAAACATCAAACACAAAATTATCCAACCACTTTTCTATTGTTGATATTTTCTAGGTGAAAAAAAACAAAAGGAGCAAGAGAGATTAAAAAGGGTAGGAATGAAAATGGTTCTAATACCAAATTGTCACAAATGTATTAGCAAACATGGAAGAAGAATATCTTTCCCTGTTTGTGACTAGGAGGGGCGAGCACGTGGTGACTAAAATCTCATTATTAGATATTTGACTTCAACCATTCATCATTTTATTAATCATTGTGTGAGTATAAATGGGCAACACCTTACAAGAAACCTATCATAATCATACTAGGAAGACTGAATCCTTATTTANAAAAGGTCTTAAAAGGAAGGTAAAAACTAAAGTGATAAATTGGAAGATAAAGATGAATATTTCAAGTCTATGTAGTGTGATGTACTCTGTATTAATTACACAGTAAAAAACAGAAACAAACATAACACCCCCATCCCTTGGCCCACCCCCGCCCGAAAAAGGTAAAATAAATAAGAAAATTTAAAAAATTAAAAATGAAAAGAAACTGAATATGGGAAATTGAAAGGAGCAAACCAAAACCAAAAATTCCCTAAATAGGACTTGTTATGTTTTTTTCCAAGAGTGGAGTTAAATAATTAATTAAATATTTATTCATGATGTCTATTTACCATTTTATCCATATACACTATACACTCCATATTAATTATAAAACTTCATACCCTGATCTCTCCAACCTTCTTTTTCTTACGCAATTCCATTAACAACCGCCGCAATAGCTACTCCATTCCCAACCACCACCGCTGCGCCTCCCAATCATCGCCGCCATCGCACCTCCCATCTTAGTCGCTCCCACCACGCCTCACTCCAAGTCTGCGCTTTCAAGATCTCTCCAATTTTTTCTCTTGCAATATCCCAAGTCCCAACCAACATCTCAGGCGGTTCCAAGCTCGAGCTCTTGAACCTGCCGTTCAACAAATTAAATTCATGGGCTCAATAATCCCAACCAAGAGTGTTAAGGTGTGGCCATGAAAGCTCAGTAAATTGTAGAACCCCTGCCTAGATTCCAACTGCCATGAGATTAATAATCTCATTTGGGAGTGCTGAGGTGTAGAAATTCATGATTTGTGTTCCCAGATTATGTTCTTTTTTCCTTTCTGTTTTTTCAAATATTCTTCATTGACTCGTACTATCAACACCGCATGGACATTAAATGAGTGTCTCCATGATGGTCTGTTAGACATTGTAGTGAATATTATTGAAGATGACAAAAGACATTGAGATTGCAAGGATGACAGGTGGCAGTGAAGGCATGGTAGACAATAAATGACAGTGAAGGCAGAGGACAATGAAGATAGTGAATGACAATGGATAATAAATACAGTGAATGGTAGAGGGAAATAGACAGAAGTGACAATGAAAGGTAAAAGACAGTGAAGGCAGAAGGTGGTAACAAGCAGTGGCAGTGGCAAGCGGAATGGGTGGTAGGCGGCAGTGTGGTGGGATTCATGGCAAGCAGGGATCAAATGGATATGGTTTAAAATTAGAGTTTTATCCCAAAGGGACATTTTGGTATATTCATATTTATTATTAATTAATTATTAATTAAGTAAATACTAGCTAAGGAAATAAAAACACATGGTTATAGTTAAAGAAAATGAGTATGTTTTAGTACTAATTGAGGAACTTTCCCAACTACAAACGGGTAAAGCTTACTAAGTAGGGCACCGACGGCAACAATGGCACATCTACCTCCCTATGGTGGAGGCAAGAGCAGATCCATGTCACGATAGTGGCGATAGGTTGGAATTATTTGATCTGAAATTCGGCAAACATATGCTAAGGTTTTTAAATCTCAGATCTGTCGGCGTGATGCATCATCGTTTACTCCGGTTACCCCTTCCCAAGGTCAAATAGTGGACAACATAAAAACCATGCGTAGAGTGACAAAGTCACAAACCTTGCAAGTTCTTCTGAATTTGTCAAAAACAGAAGAAATGCAAGCTCTTTTAAATTTGTTTATAGAAAAAACAACAAAGATGTGCACCTAGTCAAGTAAAAGAACTCGGAGTATTAACAAAAAATAGTAATAAAAGGACAAACCTTATCTTTCCAATTGATGTCAGCCCTCACAAGTTTCGAGAAGTATTCTTTGTGCACTTTTCCTTCAATCAATGTCTCAACCTCATCAATGAAAGCAACTCGGAGTGCTTCATTTCTACAAAAATGGATCGCAATGAATGAAACTCCGATATTGATGCATGAGAGTTATTACTTAGTGATTATTCGTATTCGAATCAGATTACAATTGAAAAATTCAGATGAGACCACACCAAATCAGAAACATATACAACTTTAACTTTAATTGGAATTAAATGAGACTAGACTAGAAAGATTTCAATCATATCAAACCTTAATATATCAAACTAATGAGATAAGACGAAGAGAACATGCTCTTAGGCTTTCTATGTAAGGTAAGAGGTTATCATCAATTAATTTATAAATAAAAGAGATTGCCAATTGATCACCTTTGCATTAGTAATGCAATATCTGCAGCCTCAGGCTTTTGATTCTCTTTCTGTTTCCCATATATTTGGCAGGTAACTACATAGGTAAATTTGAGATCTACTTGAGCTCTTGCTTCAGGAGACAACTCAAAACCTTGGGTATCAGTTGCTTTGCTCTGTGAAATTGCAGCCTCAGAATCTAAAGATGCATATACCAGAGTATTATTAGTAAACTAACACAGTAATAACTAATGAGAAAGAGAGCATTAGAACATAATAACTTCATCTCGTATATGATAACCTTGAGCTGCCACCCTTTCCAAATACGCTTGAAGCATGAGAGCTTTTCGGTAGTACATCATTCCACGCACTGCAAAACCCAAAGAATTGTGTTTGTAAACCAAAATCATAGAATATAAGAATAAGCACAACTCAAAAAAGTTCAAAATATAAGCCATTTATTTGTTTTACAGATCTCAATATACTTTCTGAAGCTACATTCTCACCCTTTCTCCTTTAAAAGTAACCAAATAAAATGAGCACATACCATATTGTGTTTCCACTTGGTAAAAAATTGTTTTTCCTAGCAAACACCTTTTTCATCTCTAGTTTATTCATTGATTGAGCAAGGAAAATTTAGGGAACAAATCCGGAATTCAAAAATTACTTCATTCATAATTTGTTAAAAGAAAGAGTTGAATGCAAGCATCCATGCCATTGGAGCTAAAAGAGTTGTTACTGACAATGTTTTTACTTCAAGTAATAGCAGACTAAATAAAAATGACACAATAAACTTCTTTTGCTAATTACTTTCTATGAAGTTTTAGGTAGTGAAAGCAACAATGCATGAAAGGTCCAATGGAAAGCACACTCTGTTTTTTGTACATCTTCCCCTTCATACCCCAACCGGGTTGGGATTATTATGGGTTTTGATGTAGAAACAGCTAAACGCAGCATAGGTTGTAGGTGACAAAACATTGGTGGCATAAGACGGCAAATATATGAGTGAAACGCGTACCAGTCCTAGCCAATGTTTGCCCTCTGTATGAAGCCCAAAAACGCAATTCAAGAATATCATTGGCATTATTACTAAGATCTGACTCTGATGTGTTTTCATCACGGCCAATCCGAGTAAGAAAGTTTCTCCCCTCATCTGCATTCAGCATTAATTTCTTTCTCATGAACCATTGACACTACAAAATACTCACAATAATGAACCAATCTGTATAGGAAAAAAATAACAAACAAGTCCAGATATAACAATGACCAATTGAGTGTTGAAGGCCACAACATATAGAACCCTAAAGTTGAAATTGTATATTTGGATCCTGATAAGCCTCCAATCAGATTGGTGTATTCAAGAAGGAAAAAGAAGAAGGCACAGGGTGGGCAGGCAGAAGTGAAGCAGCTCTAAATGTTAATGGGCATTTCAAACAAACCACTAAGTGGCTGAGTGGGTGGTTAGGTAGCAGTTACCCATCTCCCCTCGGAGTGAGATTTATTGCTTGAGTCATGTTATTTTCTGATGTGATTATTTTTCATTATATTTTCCTTTGAGAGTCTGGAGACTAGCCCTTCTCAAATTCGGACTTGATGTACACTTTTTCATTCTAAATTCAATCAATTCGAGTCAAGCTTTATCAGATTCCCTTTTAGAAATTATGCTAGGTTTAGGTTGGGGTAATGAAATTTTCAAAAGCTAAGCTCAAAGGAAAGCCTGAAAGGGTCACATGAGCACTCATGATCATAACATGCTTGATCAAAGGAAAGCCGGAAGGGGAATAGTGATGTTTTGAAATCTAATAATAGCTCTCAAAAGGCAAATGTATTCAATTCATGGATTCTATTAATTCTACATGGACTTGAATATATTTCAATGTATTTTACTATCGGGATTTATTTATATTCTAAAAATTCCATAGATAGTTCTAACATCAATAATTGATTACAATATCTGGTATGTTGGGTTGTACTTTGTACCCCTGTGGATATACCTATGGATCTGAATGTTTAATTCCTTCCAATATAGAGTTGCTCTTAGAGTAGAGAAATACACACTGCCATCGAAAAATTGAATTACCTCACAATCACTTGAGCATGCACATTTCATTTACCATTAAATAAGCAGTCAATTCCTTAACAAACAATGTAATGATCATTCGGATGCTACTATACGAGTTTTATGTATATCGAAAACACATAAGGGCGAAGATTACTCTATGAAGATAAAGGTCATGGCAATATTGTGGCATACTACGATAATGTTAGGGGCCACATCTGGGTATTATATCTTGATGGATGGGAACTTAATCCTGTGGAAGAGCTGAAACAAGATTTGGTTACCAAATCATGTGCAGAAGCAGAAATCAAAGAAATGGTAGCTCTAGCTGCATGTGAGAGCTTATTGGTTCTCAATGGAACACAAACTCTTCTTCCCAGAAATATTATATGGAGCTTATTGGTTCTCAATGGAACACAAACTCTTCTTCCCAGAAATATTATATGGGAGCAAAGAACCAATTTTGTTAAAGTGAGATTTTCAAGCATCAGTACCATAGTTGTTACGGCGGCTAGGCGAGGCTGGGAGCTAGAGCACCTGCCAGTCGCCTAGGTGATTAGGCGCCCGCCTAGGCGTCCGCGAGGCGAGTAGGCTATGGCGACCATAATAATTTTATAGGTACTAATGTTAAAGCATATAGTATGAAATAATTAATTAAAATGAACACTAATATATATATATAGACACACACACAAGCCTGGCCTATTTAATTTGGGCCTTATACTCATGTGTAAAGGTCCAATAGTCTATTAATTAATCTAGCCCAGTTATTTAGCTTTTTGACCTAGTCCACTAGTTAAATAATAGAGAGATAGGAAGAGGCAGTAGAGTCGCAGATCTGGAAGCCAAAGCCGCACCACGACAAATAATCGGCGAGAGAGATAAGTCTTCTCTCCCTCTCTTCTTCCGTCTTCTCTCTATCTCCTCCTCCGTCTTCTCTCCCTCTCCTCCTCCATTCCATTGCGCTTCTAAAATGGAGACGCGTCTCGGAGATGGACTGTACAACACAGTCGCCCAGGGAAAAAAAAGCTAGGCGACCAACTAGGCGTCCACAAACCCTCGCCCAGACGCCTAAGCGTCGCCTAGGCAACGCCTAGGCGACGCCTTGATAACTATGATCAGTACACATCACATCAAGTACAGTCTGAGATAAGCAGCCACACCCACATTGAAAATGATTGTCAATTTATCCGAGAGAAGATCATAGTCACCCAATACCTCAGTACTCATTAAACAATATCACTTAGAGAGTTAGAGGTACCATAAAAACTTGCATTTGTAAAAACTTTCAAAAAAATTATATATGCTCCAGCATGAGAAGTGTGATATATTGTTAAGAAATACAGAGTTTGATGTCATCAATATCATTAAAATAAATTCGCGACCTATATATCCCGTAATTCTTCTTCATTTTCTATCAAGATAAAGAAATAGTATCTTAACATTTCACAAAGTTCAATTGAAAAAACAAGTTTAAGCTAAAGATGCTAGTGTGAGTGTGTGACACTACGTCACAGCCGTCACTACTGCAAAAATTGTGGAATTTAAGTTTCTAAGTTCAGACCTCAAGTTCATGGTTTTCAATTTTCAATATTAAAGATTCATTATCCTTTTTATATTTGAAAATATGAAACGTGGAACATACTTTAATATGCGCTAGCTTTGGAGGAGGGGGGAGGGGAGAGCTGTTGCCAAATACATATCCTATCAAAGAAGGTACTTTGTCAGTTGTCACATCAGATAAGAAAGTTATATACCTGGATATATCTTTTGTAGGTAAAACAAAGTTGAGATCCCGTCTTCATTTCTTTTAAGGAGTTCAGACATGCTGTACAGGACAAAAATGCCATGCTCGAGACAGATAGCAGACTCCTTTTTTCATAAAACATGCGACGATTTCACTCAAGGTAAAGCAAGTATATGTCCTATAGTTTAGGTGCTTTATTTAACTAACCTTTTCGCATATTACTTATTCTTACCTTAATCAAACCACATATCAGACCATAAAAACTCATATGAGACCAAATAAAAAACATTAGACATGACCATAGCAAGCATTAATATTTCATATAAGAAAATTAGGCAATACAAAAAACATTCAGATTAGAGCAATCAAGTCAGACTAGACAAGAAAAATTCAAACAGATCTTAATGTATTCAATCAAATCACATTTTAGAGGCAAAGAGAACAAGTGCTTTGTTTCACTCAATTCAGGTTGAGAATATCTCTATGAAAGAACTTGTATTAGCCTTAGAGCTGGCAATTCGGTTGGTCATGTCGGGCTTGGATTCGACCACTTCTGATTTGGATTATATCAGGTTTGGGTTCGGGTTAAGAACTACATGTTCATGACCCAATGTCATCGGGTTCGGGTCGATCCAACGGGTAATTAGATTTATTTTAAAAGTTTTTAAATTCATACTTGCATTTTGCACTAAAAAAACAATAAAATATAAAAATACATATATTAAACCTCTTAGAATATTTATTTTGAATTTTTAATTCCTTTTTAGATATGTTTAACAATGTAATGAAAATTAAAAAATTAAAAATGCATCACTTTTGAAAAAATATAAGACAACTATGTGAAAACTTGTGTCAAAATATATATTTATACACTAAAAATGAGTAATAAGAAAAAAATAAAATCAGGCCTCGTTGTGTGGGTCTCTACTCTCAATGACATGAGGCATAAAGCCTTGAGTGACAATGTGTAAGCCTCACTTTAATTTAAATAAAAATATAAAATAATAAAATAGAATCCATAACTCATACTGTAAAAGAGAGTAGTACCCATACAGCATTGGTAAATTATTACAAGTAATATACACTTAAAAACAAATTTTTAAAATTTTAAATAACGTAATCAAACAATGTTTAACGGTCAAAAACTATGAGAATATAATCTAACCAAATACCGATAAGACAACAAGTAAATAAGTAAATGAAGTAATAAAATAAAAGAATAATTCTCAAATACAAAAAGCTACAAACTAAAATCTCAATTAAAAAAGAGGCAAATAAAGAGAGCAGATGAGAAAAAAGAGGGATGTTGGGGTGGGGGTTGCACTGATCAGAGGAACTTAGTGTTAAAAGAAACAAAGAAGAGAAAAGGCAATGAGACCTGGTTGAAGAAATGAAGACTGTAAACCAAGACAACTATAAAGTCTATAATTGTCGGCTTGTAGCTGAATGGGAGGGAAGTAGAAGATTGAGAGTGAGAAACGGAAGGCTGGCATCTTTGTTAATTGGCTCCTAGGTTTTATCAAAATAAATCTAGATTTTTACTATTTACTAATTACATTGTGGTTGTTTATTTTTTAGTGGTACATTGTGCTTGTTAGAAAAGCCAAAAAAACAAAAATAAAGCAAAGTATATAATATAAATGTTAAAGCCCAATAGCTTTTATGAACTTTCATAAAATCATGATAAAATCCGAAGCTTAAGCCTTGTTTAAGTCTTGTGCCTTATGTGCCTCTGCATGCCTCATCCACCTAGGGCGTAAGCCTCAAAATACCAACATGAGGCTTAAATCCATCGCCTTTAACACTCCCACTTCAAGGCAGACCCCCTCAAACGCCTTAGAAAACCATGAGAACGAGTTCAAGATTCCGTTTTTTAGTATCAGGTGACAAGTATTGTATCAAACAGAGAGTATATAAATTGCTCCATCTTATGGGCAAGCTTAAAGAGAGTAAAAATATGAAATCTAGTTTAGAAACCCTAGGCTTTATAAGCTTAGGCCCATTATATTGTTCTTTATATATGCAGTGTACTAGTAATAGGAGAGTAACAAGCATCCTTGTTGTATGAGAATTGAAACTATGCGATATGAACATGCACAACAAAACAAATGATCTGCAATGGATGGAAATTCAAATACAAACCAGTATTCCCAATAGTGCAGTAACTTTCTGAATCATTAGTGGTAGCTTATTCAATTCAATATCAACAAGTATGCTCCTATTAGCTATGCTTCTCTGAATCTCGTCATATATTCTCTCAACCCTGCAATGGCACAAAAAGAGAGATGAATCTTTCTGACCAAATAACTTGCAAGCCACAATTATTTTCCTTAAGGCATCAACTTACCACTTCTTACCCTCAGTATCCAACACAGATGTGAGGACTAACTTGAGGGTATAATAGCACTCTTGAACAGCATATTTCATGTAATCGTCCCTTAAAATCCGGTCCCATAGCTCTTCTTGCGAAAGTCTGGACTCTTTACCCTCAATAGCAGTATCTTTAGCAAGAAATATCTGTGCAAGAGGAAAAAGACATACATACCAGGAAGAGAAATAACAACATGTGCATTTGGAGCTTTGAAGAATGGCATTTGAAATTGAATTCGGTCCTCAACCGACTGGGGCCACAAAATTGAAAATGTTCGTGATGATTATGGACAAATGTCTCACTACTAATGAGACCACGACGACAGAGAGTCGTGTCATCATGATGGCATAATATCGGATGATGATTGTTGATACTGCAAAATATGGACTCAAATATTTTAATATGTTGTTTGTGTGTTTGCGCTCTTTTACATTTTGTTGCTCAAAGTTGAAGGATATTGGTTTGTTATGCACTCCTATTTGGATTTATGTTTGTTTATGTCCTACCTTGAAACTTAGTTTTGTTAAGATAATGAATGTGGTTATAATTAGTGATACAATATATATTTAAGATGTTTCGACTTGTCGACGTGATAACTATGGTTAGTATCTAGACATGGTCGAGAGTGTGAATAGTGTAAAAAATTGATTGTTGCATTTATTTTAGAATGAAGTACTTATTCGTTAACATTAGGCTAACATACTTTGATTCTATTCATTTTGAGCCGAGATTCTTTCAAAGACAAACTACTTTGTATGGGTACAGGTACAGGTAAGGCTAACATACATCTTACCCTCCCACTTGTTGGATACACTGGATTTGTTGAGCCCCACGTTGAGGAATAACATGGCTTCTTGATGTTGTGCCTNGTTGCATTTATTTTAGAATGAAGTACTTATTCGTTAACATTAGGCTAACATACTTTGATTCTATTCATTTTGAGCCGAGATTCTTTCAAAGACAAACTACTTTGTATGGGTACAGGTACAGGTAAGGCTAACATACATCTTACCCTCCCACTTGTTGGATACACTGGATTTGTTGAGCCCCACGTTGAGGAATAACATGGCTTCTTGATGTTGTGCCTTGAAAGGAGTTAACATGGCTCCGAGGATAAAATGGAAAAGAACACAAACTTGAAGGGGTAATAAAAAACTGCCTTCCTAGCTTATTTGTGACTTCAAAACCTACAGATGGTGCGCAAGCTGAACTCAAGAGTTTTCTACACTAGTACCTAAGTTAGAACGAGAGGGATAAATTTCGGGGGAGGGTGGTTTTGATACAATCCTAAAACCCAGCAGTGGTTAAGTAGCTCTTACAGGGAAACTTTTGGTATTAAACTTGTTATACTATATTATTGTTTTTCTCCAATAACATTAATTTTTGAGTCTACAATGAATCAAACAGAGAGCTTGGGGCAAAAGTATCTTACTTTTGGAAACAAAATCATGCCACGAATATTGCTGAATATCCATTTCAACCACAAACCTTGTGGGACTCACCAAGGGCTTAATCTGAAGCATTGTCACATATAGCATGATATAAACTTACTACGACAAAAGCATAATGAAACATTACTTAAAACTTACTAGTAGAAAATAAGCAAAACTAAATTTGCCTCCCAAAACAGCAAGCCAAAATGCAAAATATCTGCAACAAATAATTATGTTGTGTTAAATCCAGGATGCCAATAGTTACTACTTTACTTATCCAAACAGTTATACACCAATAGACAAAACTGCAGTACATAAGCTTACGAATTTCGCAGTGCGCATTATGATGGCTGATACAAAATCAGAAAATCTTAATCAAGTTTAAAAATGAATGCAATGTTTCCTCGGAAGAACAAGGAGATTGTATTGTTTTGATTTACAAAAGTATGGACGGACGGTTAACATAAGCAACTTATTCCAATGAGATCAGAATGATTCAGATCAGGTGAAGAGAACAAGTCCATAGTCAGCTTCAATGTTGTTGATCCTCTCATGAAACACTAGATTCAATGAATTGTACAGTTCTGTTAAGTTATTGCATATCAATGTCATCGGTGGGACGTGGGAGAGTGTAGAACTGTAAACCCTAAAGTAATGTTTTGGCCATATCAACTCATATGTGGCTAAAGCCTAGCATTCAGCTTCCTCATTTGATCACATCAAGTTTCATACATTTTCACCAACAAAAAAAATACTCAAAGGTGAAATGTCTCTCAACTAGAGAAATTGCCTGGCCAACATCAAAAAATCGACCCAAGGGCGACCTTTAACTACAGAATACACTATTTATTGGAATGATGCCATCTTAAAGTACTTTCTATTTTCACTCGTAAAATGAAATATCGGAAAATGAAACATCTATCAACATTCCAAGTATATTTGGATTGTTTTGGTTAGGTTGGTTTTGAAATAACTGCCAATATGAGAACCTGCAAAATAACGGAATAACCTGAGGGTGACCTTTGCCATCATAACACATTATTGGTTTCCTTGGTGCCTTTTTTATGTCCCTTAAGACATGATCACATGAATATAAGTATCACAATCACTCTACAGGGAAGAGCAAATTTACTGACATGCATTGTTGTGGAAAACATTGAAAAGCCTCAGTTAATCATCCACCTTAGCACTATGCCTCTCCTTGATTGTGGGTCCACTTGAGGTACTCTTTAAATGGAATAGGTTGCCCCATTGGGCACTCGATATAGACATGACCATAGGTCGTAGCCACAACACATGTAGAAACATTCATCTAAACAACACATCACTTCTTTGTTTTTCAGGATAATTTTCAGATTGCTATCCTACTTCGGAGGCTCATATCTCCACAACCGTTTGGTGGAATGATTCAAAAAAAGGTAGACAAAATTTTGGCAGAACGCCCTTGTCAACTTCAGATGAGGATATCTCATTAAAGACAACCCGGAATTGAGTGAAAATCATTGGCCAGGCGTGGATAACAAGCTGAACTTGCTACAGTAGAAACCAAGAAACCTCACAGGAAGAGATATTGTGTATCTCCCTATGTGAGCAATTCTTCACCGCAGCAAATTTCAGGGAGAAACTTCAGATTTCACGTTCTTAACACGTTTGCATTTGTTGGTCCTCCGGGTGATTTCAATGCTTCGGACAGTCTTTGAAGCTTGGCTTTGATGATAGTTTCTGTTCTTGAAGAGAGAAGGACATGTATGAGTCCCTTGGTGGATGTAGTACAGTTAGCTCTGATACCAGATGATGTGCCCAAACTGGGGCATTATCAAGTAGAGAAAAAATCGGTGGTTGAGGATGTATATAGGTAGGGAAAAAAATGGGGAGTGTGATATGACTGTATAAGGAGTTCCCTTGGGTATTTTTATAAAAGAAAATGTATCGGTCTAGGATAAGAAATGATGAGAGAAGAAATGATAGAGTAAAAGTAGGAAGGGATAAACCAAGTTGGTGTTAAGAGATATGACACACCTTTATCTTAACTTGGGGCTATGTCTAGAATTTCATTAAGATATGACACACTTCATTAAATACCAAGAACCTAAAACTCACACTTAAAAACCACTCTTAAGATATAGAATTAGGAGTTTTGACTAAAATAGCATCGCTATTTTAAAGAATTACTCAAGAATAAAACAAGGTTTTCATCATTGTTTTCAGGGCAATAAGTCAAGTCGAGTTGTTGAAGAAGAGACTAGTGGACTAGTTGACTAGTCGGTCCGACTAGTCGATGATTAGTTGGCAAGTCATAATAAGTACTGCATTCTATAAAATATGTCATCATTCAACATTCTTTAAAACAAAATTTAGTTGCACAAATAATAATAGAATAAAAGAAAACAAAAAACTAGAAATAAATAGAAACCTTTATTAAAAAACGGTTCAAAAAGGGTGTAGAGTATTAGTTACACTTGTAGGGGTCTATCCGTCGGCCCTCCAAGAAAAGAAAATAAAAATGAAAAGAAAGTCAGGCTAACAATACATGTCAGAACGAAAAAGCTATTTGTAACTTAAACGGGACGGTGGGAGCCACAAACAACAGCGTCGTCGACGAACGACCACGGCAGCAGCAGACCAACTTCCGGCGGTAGCGACGGCGGATCTACTTTTGCCATGGGTTAGGATTTTCAGATCTGTGATTGTTCCGTCCTTCACTCTAGTCACTAGTCGCTAGTCGCCACCACCAATTGTCCCTTCCCAGCGGCCAGACGCATAGTCTACGACTAGTCGACGACTTAATAACCCTAGTTTTCATTCATTAAAATCTGCCTACAATTGCCATATGGCCGTAGTTTATATAAGGGATATAAAAGGGGAATTCTAAGCTAATGATCATATATGAAGACAAACTAATACATATGCTGGAAATGCTAGCCAATTTCCACGCCACATTCACATGGGAGATGCATCTCATTATTATGTAGAAATGCATGAAAACACTTGTTCTTTGGCTTGAGAATGTACGCCACATGCTACGCAAATCAAGAAAACAAACTCCTTAATTCAATCATTGAAGTTATGGCGGCTAGGCGAGTCTAGGCGTTAGGGTACCTTCCAATCACCTAAGCGATTAGGCGTCCGCCTAGGCGTCCTCTAGGCGAGTGGGCTATGACAACTTTATTATCTTATAGGTATTAATATAAAAGCATATAATATGAAATAAGAAATTAAAGAGTACATATGTGCCCAAAAAAAGAGTAAATATTTTGAAATATATGAATGAATGTTTTTTTAAAAAAATTAAAATTTAAAATTATATTAAAAGAATAAGTATATTTTTTACACAAGTTAGTAAGTTAGTGGGCTTTTTAAACTTTTTTAGAGTGAAATCAAATTTGGGCACAACACTCTTTTAATAAAGAGCTATACTTAATAAGTGCAAAGGCCCACTACTCTTTTAATAAACTCAGCCCAAATAAGTAACCTAAATAACTATGGAGAGTTGAGGGCTTAGACTTGGAATCTGCTGGATCTCGCAAGTCTCTCTCCCTTTTGTCTTCTTCGGATCTTCTTCTCCTCCTTCGTCCTCTCTCAGGCTTCTTTCAGTCATCTTCTTCTCCCGTGTTTCCCCAAAAAAACCTAGGCGAGCAGTTTGGAATCCATATAACCTCGCCCAGACGCCTAAACGTCGCCTAGGCAACGCCTTGTCAACTATGATTCAATGGAATACGTTGCAGCATACCTTTCCTCAAATCAGAGCTGATGGTGTCCAAGTGCTAGCCTCCTTTTTTGGTAGTAGAATTCGGCCAAAGGGTGAGGGAAATGGCTGATGGTTGTTTACTTTAAGTTTAGGCTAAAATGGAGGTGGAAATAAGAAAAAGAAAAAACATTTGTACACAAAAGTCAAAGTTGATGGTTTCTTATTTGCTTGGGTAGTGTTTTCGGCCAAGGTAGATGGGGAATACAAAGCAAACATTTAGAGGGTATTTAGGGGGTAAAACAAAGTCAAAATAAAATGATGGTGATCATTTGGCATATTAGTAAATGATTATTGCAGGTCTGGTGTTGAATTTAATGATCAAAAGAATTTGATAGCTTGTCTTCTTTTAGCTACTGATTTTAGTCAAGACTATAACCAAGGAGGTAAAAAGACTTCTTTTGAGTTAAAATGGTGAGGTGAATCCAGCCATGTGTGTAGGGATTGATCACAAAGACTAAGGTTGACTAAATACCGATTTTAAAGCACAAAGTTGACGCAAAGGTCTTTATTTTAGATTTCTTTCCTTCTCAAATTTGCTCATGGCTTAATATGATTAGGAAAGGTTCTATTTTGGAGTAAATATAAGGAAATAAAAGAATTTAAATAAATAGGGAGTGGTGGGTTTATGTGGGATGGTCCAGGGGTACATCACCCTCCATACCATAAAAAGTCTTTATTCACAAAGGTACAACTTTACTGTATTTTGTAACAGATCATAACAATTAGAAATTGTCAAATAGACATGTCTTAAGTTTTAGTTGTTGGTTTAATTTATTTTAACACACTCACCTCATTTGGGAAACTTTTATTATTTCAAAAATTTAAATATAATGAAAAATAGCTTTGAATATTTAAATTGGGTTATTTTTGGGACACTAAAGAGTTGTAGAACAAGATTGTTTTTATGGAACGGAGGGAGCTTTATATTATTGGGTGGTAGATTTATAAGACAAAGCTAGCCCATTAGAGTTGGGAACTCCTATGTAGACTTTCATTTAACAACAAACTATAAGATAAAATACACAATTGCAATCAATTATGGAGTAGCAATAAAGTAATCCTTCAAAGACATAGGCACACAAAAAATAGTATTTGGATACAAATAGAAATTACACATTCCCGTCACTGCACTGAAATCTATGTAATTAAGCATTGTGTTGTCGGCACTTGGAAATGCATCACCATTTTTTGTTATAACTCACAATACTACCCAAACAAAAAGAACAAACATTCCCTGTAAACTTGGACTACCTCCTAACTTTAGACATTATTACATTTTTTTGCTATATGTTAAGGCCATTAACCACTTATACTTCCAAATCAAATAGACAAAAAAAGAGATGTTTGATATTTCTGCATAAACTTAGGTTTGATTGTTGTTAATCATTGATATCTTTTTAACTTCTTTAGTTTGATTGTTCTCAAGAGGTTAAGTCTTAAAGTATGTCCAAGGTCAAGCATTATACACACATAAAAGAACATATCACATCATTAAATGAATATAGTGAAGAACAAATATAATTGATCAAAAGGGATTACTTGGTGAAGCTAGAAGTTCTCTCATACATGCCACGGCCGACATAGTAATGTTCCTTCAATTATAGATGGAAAAAATTGTTATTCATTGGTTATATAAAGACTAAGATCTTACTATCTTAGTCCTTCAATAATCTAAGACAATATAACAACCTGGTGCATCCATTTGACAAACCGGATTAGGTGCCACTGATCACATTGATTCGTCAACCGATGACACATTGGAATTTGGAGCAGGAAGCTTAGAAACAAGTGGACACCGCCATATATGGAAAGAGCAATGACATAAATCTTGAAGAATATTAAATCTCCATTTGGCTTGGTTTTCTCCACAAGGCCTTTCCTGGAGTTATAAGTAAATTAAAAGTTGAAAAGGAAATGCACATGATGATGTTAGAAGAAAAAATGGAAAAAAAAACTCGCCAAATGCACGAGTTTAAAGAAAGCAAAAAGGGCAAAAAAACATAAAGGGAACAAGTAAAACATACACATAAAGGAAACAAATAAATACTGAAGCTGCGCTGAACCAAAGAAAACGAAGAAAAATTCGGCTAACAGGCGTCTTGATGTAGAATAGGCTCCATACATCATAATGACATCCAATACACCTATGTGTGAACAAACAAGGAGCAGCTCAGTGACAACATTACTAATTCAGAACTAACAGCATTCACATATATAAATGACATACTAAACATTCTCAAAGCACTTGTGCATCTCTTATGTGTGCGTGCACCAAACATCTCCAAAGCATAAAAGGATTATTATACTACGCTCTATATGAGATTGCAATGTCAAAAGAATCATACTTTCCAAAAGTTTCATCATAAAATAAGTAGGCCCAAGACTCAGAATTTCTCGTAAGGTCTTTGAGTTAAATTTCCCATCATTGAAAGCAATAATAGTGAGTCCCTGCAGAAAAGGATAGTTGTAAAGAAATTATATCCAAATAAAAAGGGATCTAGTAGGATTCATCTCAATACTGGTTTGTGAATGTCAACAAGAAAAATGAAATGGCAGTGAAGGGGTGTGAAAGCAAAAGAGCGAAAAACAAATAAACAGTAGTGTGCTTTTATAATTTACACACCTGAAACATCATCACAAGAAATATCCATAGTCGATGAAAACTATGGTAAAGATGTAAGAAAGTTTGATGCTCAACAAAAGAAGTCTTTCCCTGCCGTTTGCTGCTTCCACTAGATTTAAGAATGTTCTATAACAAAGAGCAAGTTTGAGAGGGGGTCAATTTGAATTACATATACTCTGTATAATGGTGCATGCAAAGTTGAAAACAAAAACATATGTCATCATATATGAGATATGCCACATAATTCAAATCATGTCTATCATTAAATTTGAAACTAACAATATACTCCCTATACGCTAAAATGATTTTCACATTTGACTATTCATAACCAATGCAACACCTTGACCAATAACTTTATTAATAAATAAATACTCCATCCATCTTGGATTAATTGTCCCATTACGGATAACAAAACTTGACTGAGTTTGTTTTCAATCCAATTCATTTAAATAATAATACAAAAATTCAAAAAAAAAACTACTATATTTTAAAAAACTACATTGAATTTTCTTTTAAAATGAAAAAGGAGATGAGTAGGTGACATGACGATATTATTTTATTTTATGAGATGATTAACGAAAATAAGTAAAGAAAGAAGAAAAAAGTTAACTTGTAAATAATGAAGTGACTTGATTGATTCAGGGTGGAGTAAGTTCTAAAAATAATTGGCATTTCCAATCTACATCTCAAAATGAATCCAATGTTTTAAATTACGTTAGAAAATATTTAAGTTTTCCTCAAATGATAACCAAAATTTGTAATATTGGACCCAAAAAGTCAAACTTAAAGACCATTTTGGGATGGTGGAAAATTACATTGTCAGCAGCAAAACAAACCCAAACCAGATCCAGATATAATATTGCATGCAAGAGCTAAATTTGATATCTCTAACTTACAACAATATTAATATACTCCATCCGACCCATAAAATTCTCGAGAGTTTGACTTCAAAGAATTTAAGAAAGTTGTTGAAAAGTAGAAAGTGTGTGGTTAGAATTTGTTCAAAGGAGAGAGAATTGTGCGTAGCTACATATTCATTACAACTATAGAAAATAAAGTAACTAATAATTTTTTTGAAAGGTCCAAAAATTAAAATATTCTAAAAAATAAAGTATGATAACATCCAACCAACTAACTGTTATACCCCTCAATGCCTCCACCAAAACCACCCTCTCCCAAATATCCAAAAATCTTTTATTTCTTTCTTTTTATTCAAATAAAGTCACCCCCACTTATTTGAAAGCCCCTGGCCGAAAATAAGAAGACAAAACCAAAAAAAACCTTTGTTTGTTGTTATTTCCTTTTTAAAAGCCTTAAATAATCAAATAACACACTTCCCCTCTTCTTCCTACATTAGGGACGAAATTTCAACCCCTTTTTGGTTCCTAAAATCCAACCAAATCACCAATTACCACAAAGGAACAAAAATTAATGAAAAGTCAAAAAAAGTGAATAGTAATTTCTTGTCCTTTTGTTGACTAATTCCACACCCAACCATACCATGTTCCTTTCTCTCCTCTTCCCCATTAAAATCGAAAATTCCCCCCCCC